TTAAATCCCATACAATATCACGTATACGCAGCGTTTAACCTTTTTGGCATTTAACAGTACGCACAACAGCAATAATAATATCGCACTCGTCGCACACTCCGGCAAAGCCGCAGAGAAAAGTTTTCACGGCTCGATAAGAGTTTTTTAATTTGTCTAAAAAGGTGAATGGAGCTGGGGGTTGGGTACCCCACATGTAGCTTGGGCGCAACTTTTTAGGCGTGTAATTTATGCGTTGGGATTATGACAAAAAGACGATGGGCGTAGCAGACCAACAAGCAAGGGCGGCCATGACGTCTGTTCAAAGTATAAAAAACTTGTCGGAAGGGGGCTGGGGGTGTGACTTAGCCGATGGCTGCCTGGCAGACAGGTGTAGCAGTCAAACCGGAAAATTAGCGGAAAGCATCAAAAGCGTTCCCCAAACGGCAATGTCGCGACATGGCCGCCTCCCTATTACCTCATAGCCTTACCTCTCCTATTCACCCCACTTTCCGCTAGCTTACTGTGGCTTGACTTTTTGCATAACCACAAAAGCAGCAAAAACAACAATAGCATCGGCGACAGCAACAAAACTGGCGAAAATGTGCGCGCAGTTTGTGACTTTGCGGCTTTTCCGTGTTTGTTGCTGTCGTGTCGACAAATATGCCACAGGACATTTTGAGTTTTGTGTAGTTTTTGCGGCTAGCGAGTGTCGTCCAAGGCGTAATTACCTGGACTTTCACTATAATTTGACCACGCCGTTGTTTGCCACTTTACTGCCCTCTTAAAGGCGACAACCACAATTAACTTGGTGCTAAGGGTATGATAACTATGTGCTGTATTTTGCCAGCTGCTTACTGTCCCAGTTCAAGGTAATTTAAAAGTCAGTTTCAGCTAATTTTAAAATGACAGAACTACATCTGTTTTCATTATATTGTTTTTATTGGTTTGATTGTATTCGTATTTTTTGTATGTTTCTGTCAAGAAAAACTATTATAAATATTAATGTAAAATACTTAAGCTAAATTAAGCTTTATTTTAATAAAGGTTTGAATTGACGAGTCGTTTTTACCTAGATCTAGTTGTCGAGCGCGACCTTCGCAGGTGAAACCTCGGAGATCAGATCAGCTTCTTTAGCAGCTGCCACGCCAGCGGCAACATCTAGCTCAAAGCTTTTTTCCTTCTATTTTCATTAAACATTGCCCATTGTTATGAAAATATTGTAAGCCGTAACTATTTTCGTACACGAGAAGTGGGCTAAATTTCATATTCACCCACAATTGGCATCTACCATAGCTGATGGAATATAAATGCCATGATTGGGGCCAAAGTAATTAAATCTTTGGTGCTGGATCTCCCTTAAAAATATTTTATTTAAAACCAAATAAGCTGTGAAATAAATACCGCTTGGCTTGGTTTTCCGGTTGGTTTCGATTCGAAGTAAAAAATAAATTGGCATTGGAATTCGAATTCAACGGTAGAAAGCCAGTTTGCAATTTCAATAATTAAAATTTGTATAATTTCTCATATACATCTTTTTATAAGATAAATATTAAAGCCAAAATGATTTTGTTTGTATTGTAAACTTACATTAATTTGCATATTCCATTTTTTGTATAAATATTGGCCGTTTCACTTGGCACATTAATTGATTTTCAGTGCATTTAAGCTTCGATATTTTTAAGCATATTTTTTAAGCTTATATTTTCCTCTCATTCTCAATTTCGTTGTTATTTTCTCTGGGGCTTTCTCATACTCTCACGCATATCAAGCACGGGTGTTGGCCCCTGCGTTTAAGTAGCCATTGTTTTTAGTGTTGTTTTTGTTGTTCTTGCTTTGGCCTGCGGCTTTGGGGCGGCTTAAAATTGGATTTGCTTTTTTGGTTTGATAATGCTTTGTTGTTATTTTTGCCTTGGCCCTCTCATGTGCGTACTTATAAACTTGTCACTTTAATAACTTTTTGTGGCCTTTTTCCCTTATTTTTTGTGGTAGCTTCATCAAAGCACGTTTTAATTGCTGCCCTAACAGCTGTGCAAAATATTTATTTAATTTGTTTTCTTGTTATACCATATCTTTTGGCTTTGTTGCATTTTATTTTTAGACGTGCCGCAAATCTCGAATGGAATGCCAGCAGCATTTGCTTTTTATGACTGCCAAACATGAAAGACAAGAACGCGGCAATGGGCACTAACAATGTGTGAAAATTCGCACGTTTCGTCATAAATAGCAATAAAACACACAACAATAGAAATGAAAAACAATTTACAAATTTACGTTCCTTATAATTTGACATTTGTGGCTGCGATATTAGAATTTGCGAGTCCATTGTCGGCAAATGGCGAGGCACGCAAATGGTGGATGCGGGGTGGAGGTGGAGTTGGAGACTACTTTAAGTTATGCTCTACAACGACACTTGCCTTAAGCTTCTTAGTTGCCTGCCACAGATGCAGGAAACTGCGACGCGCAAGAAGTTATTCGAGTGTGCGCCGCGCTTGTCGCTATGCAACAATTTCAATTTATATTTTTCTTATAATTTGTTACTTTTTTAATTTGATCAATTTCACGCCAAATGTAACACGCAGAAAAGTACATTTTGTAATTATTTGCACAAGAGCTTAATTGTTTGCATTTTCCAACGAATTTCGCACAAATATTGACAAGGAGGGCGTGAGTGGGTCGCCTGTGGTTGTAAATTATCACGAAAAACTCAGTTTTATTTTAACTTTTTTATTTTTTGGCAACGCACTTCAATTAAATAAATAGACTTATTTTGTTATGGGGCGCCAACGAAATTTAAACAGCCAACATAAAAATGTGCGCAGCAAAATGTGCCGCAGTGCGTGTGTGTGTTGCTCACATGTGTGTGTGACATGTGTGTGTAACTGAGCATTGAACCAGTTTGCTCCAACAAGATGAGGATGGTTGTAGGGGGAATAGGGGTTTGCCAAAGCTGGCTGCAGCTTTTAGTCAAGTCTCTGGTTGTACATAAAAAAAGTCAACAGACAAACATGTAAATTATGAAAAATGTATTCACACACATACAATGCTATTCAAATTTGTAGGTCAATTAATGCGCTTAAAGTTATGACAAGAAAAAAGATAAAGTTTTAGGTTCATTGGCATACAATAGCAAGCTCTTGGGTATTTTAAGCCCAAAAACTGTAGAAAACCGTGGTGGACAACTTCTGACTATGCCTCTCATTGTTTCCAGCAAAGCTCCAAAGGTTTCCTGCAGGCAGTAGCCGACTTGTTGCTGGAACTTTGCTTTCCGCGAAATCTATTTATACCGATGCAGCTTCTACGCTATATATATTTAATTTGTTGAACCTAAGTCTAAGTAGCTTATAGCCTCTGTAGTATAATTTTGTACAAGAAAATATATTAAAAATCCCCATTTAAGGTATTTTACCTGTATAAAATGGTTGATTTAATAATATTGGAGACATCTCCTTTCGAGGTTTGATTTGAATTTAATAGATCACCAAAATATTGAAGCATATTTCGAATCGATAATTTCAAAAAATAAAGTTTAAGCGATACGTTTTAACGAATTGTTTACAACCTTAAAACCATTTTTGCAAATATCAAATGACAGCCGAAGAAATTATATGTATGTTTATGTTTCACTAACACCATAGAGCTTACGGAATTTCTTTCGGTCTTTCCCGAGCCTCTACTCATTTGCATTCTGCTGGTCATCTGCCTGCTGGCTCTCAGCCTCAGTTGGCCCTGGTACAAACGCATTGTTCCGTCTGGCGATCTCGCGCTTCTCATCGTCGGTCAGCGGACCAGTGCCATAGACAGGTATATTCTGATAGAGCTTGGCCAGCGGGCTCAGATTGCTTAGCTCGTTCTGAAACAGAGAAAAGCGCTGTCCATATGGGCGATTCTGCATGAAATGATCGCCATTCTGTTCGTCGTCGTCTTCATTGTTGACAACCAGATTCAGCGATGGCATCCAGCTTGAAAAGGAATCGGACATGATTGGCGGATCGAATGAAATGCTTGGCTCTAATCTGTTTTCAATATTTTTTCGATAAAATTAATAAAAAAAAATGTATCTTAATGTGCAGCGCTGAATTTCGAATGACTACTTCTCAATTTTGTGTCGGCTCCAGCTCAGCGTCCCCAGACAGCCAACTGAAGGACTGCCTAGATCTAAGAAATTTGAAAAATGTTTAAGAAAATATATTATATATATTACTTATTTTTCTTGGTAAATGCATTATACTGGTTAACGCTGGCTGTTCGGGCTTTAAAGCTCTTGTTTCTCTGGTATAAAGGATTTTATAAGCAGGCTCATAAAAGTTGTAGAACACATATTTTCTCTTTCGAATCACTCGATAAAGAAGAGCAACTAATTATTAATTATGTAATTATATTGTGGCTGTGATATTTGTTAAATATTAAGAAAAACTTTTGGTTGTTTCGTTTAACCAGCTCCCAGCCTTGACGTTTCGAACGTAAACTTGGTTTTCTACGTTCATGAACCTGGGATTAACTACATATATTTATTTGTCATATTGAAATATTCTAATTTAAACAATACAATTTAAAATTTTGAATTATCTGTTGGTCTGCAAGCGCAGCAATACATTCTCATTTATTTTTTGAGCCAATACAGTATTGTTCATACTTGCAATAATAATACATATCTTTTATTGCTAAAAGTTGTTTCTATAAACGTGTTCATCACTGTACACATGGCTAACATATACACACAGTGAATGACTGTGTCTCGTTAGCCAGTGGCTGTGGTTCTTGTTGTTGTTTTGACTTTTTCGCAGACACTTTAGTCGGCCAGGCCGTGCGACAACATCCGCAGTGTGCTTGCTGGCATCTAGCCCCGCAACCCCGCAGAGCCTGTGCCCCCCTCTCGCATACAGCAGCTGAATAATGCGCACCTGTTTTGTTTATTTTGACTGCACTGTTGTTGTTTTTGTAGCTGCTGCTGCTGCATTTCTGGTTGCTCTTGTTGTTTTCATACAGAGCAGCTGCTGTCGTGTTGTGTAAAATAAAAAAAGCGAAAGGCTGGCAACGCTTATTTTTTTAGATTATTGTTGCCACATTTGCGGGTTGCTTGGCTCATTTGCTGGCCGGAAAGCGAATTGAAAGCATCTTTCAGCCAAATCAACAACAGCAAACCGTAAGCAAACAAATAAACTCATTACAAAGTATATCCACTGGCGATTCGATGATTTTAAAATTCAGCACAGCAAAAGGCAACTTTTAACTGCAGCTTAGCAGTAGCTGAAGTAGCAGCAGCAGCAGCGGCTACGCTTAATTAAATGCCCAACAAGCAGCAAATTAAATAAATACGCACTGCACACTGCGCCAACTCTGGGTAAATAGCGGCTGCTCTGGCAGCTCAGAGCCAACCTTTGTTCTTCATTGACAATGCAGCGGGACTAATCAGTTGAGAAAATGGCGAGATGCTGCGGCAGCAGCCAACAAAAGGCCAAGCGGACCCTTTGGGCCATTAATTAGCTGGCACAAACAAAAGAAAAACTTGCCGAGCATAGCTCAAAACGAACGTTAAGCGAAAATGAAACCCAAACAACGTGAGGTCAACTCTGCCAATACAATGTATAAATAATTGTAAATGGGAAGATGCCCTGGCAAAATTCGTTTAATTAATACGCATTCTTAACAGGTTGCCCAACTCCCACTCTCCATCTCGACAAAGTACATCACATATCAACGCCTTTTTCATACCCTGCAGACTTTTCGTTAGGGCATCAATCAAGCATAAACTGCTCCCACTTTATGGCCCGCCAATTAATCGCAATCGTATTAAGATTGATCATCAGCAGCATCCGTGAGTGACACGCAACAGCCTGTGCGTAATTCATGCATTTTACTTACTTAATTTTTATGAGACAGCAATTCAAATATTTTCAGAAGGTTCTTAAACGCGCTGACAAGACGCATATTACGTTAAGCACCGGCAAAAGAGTTAACCGCAGGCATGCAGAATGCGCTTTATGCATTAATATGAATGCTTAAAGTACTTCATTAAAATAGGTTAAATTATGACCCCAAAGGCTGTGCGACATTCAGATATTTAAATATATAAAATAAGGACACCAAAAATATGTAATACATTATTATTAAAATATATAAAACTTCATATTATATAAAATGTTAATATAATTAATAATATTATTCGTATTATTAATTTTATTATTATTAATATTGTTATTAGTTTGATAAATAATTTTGTCAATCTTCAAGTGGCATAAAATTGACATTTCGCATCGGTTTTAGACGCCTCCACAAATGGATAACAGCAACATTTATAAAATCTGTAACAAATTGAACAAGGTTAAGGTTTCACATTTCCCGGGGCTGTGGGCTTGCGAGTGCTTTTAGGCCAGATCCGAGTGCTCAGTGAAGCGTGGCAGCGTTTGGAGTTATTGTAGTGGCAAAAGTTTTGGCCTTGTAATTTAACTAAAAGCCTCAATAAAATTGAAAGGTGTTTGGTCCTCGCGCAAATATATGCCCAGCAAATACTTGTAGCGCTCGATAAAGTGCTTACATTTAACGCTTTCCGTTGTGAGTGTGAGTGAGAGGCTGAGTGTGGGACAGGAAGTTATAAGCATGTGATAGCCGTGGCATAAACATTTATGTAGCTACTTTTCACAGAGCTGCACGGGTGTGTGGGGGTGTACGTGTTAGTGTGTGTGCAACGCATAAAAACTGCCATGCCACGCAAATCCAATTGAAATCGTTGCATGGTGCGAGGCAAATCCATTTAATAACCAACATAAATACTCTAAAGAAGCTTTACGACTTGAGCGCACCACAGGAAACTATTTTGCCAGCAGACGGGCTGACAGAGACGACCATATTAAGCTGAAGGCTAAGGGCGTTGGGCGTTGGGCATCGGGCTAGCAGCGGTGCGGTGGGGCGTATGACAAGCAGAAAACTGGCTTTAAGCTCAAGTGAGTTGTGAGACATTCAATGTTGTATATGTGTCGTGTATTTGCATGACAGTTCATTCAAATACGCAAGCGTGTATACACAAGCGAGCATGTGTGTGTGGTCTATGTGTGTGCTTGTGTGTATAAATAGCATGCAAATATCTGTGGGCGTGTATCCCGCTGCAAAAGTTGAGTCGCCACAGAGACTAAGGCAAGGTCGAAGGCAGCTTTCAATTCTATCTGCCCGCTGCTTATTTTTATGCTGATTAACCTAACAACTCGATTCCTTCTTGTGACACACACCCACACACCCGGACCCGTATCCCCACAAATACACACCCACGCCCTGTGTCACACGTAATTGAATAAGAATATGACTCGTTTCAATATTTTATACCGTGCCCCACAAGATTGCCCACAAACATAGCCAACACGTCGCCCAAAAACTGTGACTGTGCCCATAAAAACTCATAAACTTACCATAAATATCGGCCCACTAAACTGGCGCCATATTATTGTTATACCCCAGCAAATCTTTATAGAAGGGGTATATTAGTCAAGGCTACATACAGGATGAGTGTTATTAAAATATATATTTACATTAATCATGCGTCACGTGGTCTTAGTAACTAATTGGCATAGACTCCAATTAGCTTATGATTATCTATATAAAGGGTATCTCTGCGTACGGCAGCTGAATGTTCATCATTTTATTGCTTGTATTTTTTCAGCTACAGAGAAAGAAATATGTTCGATTAGGGCTGTTGCGCCCAAGCGGATGTTGTTTGGCCCGTTCAGCCGTGCTAAAGATGATGTGTAATTGCATTTTATGACCATAAATAAAAGTTTGAATTGGTGCCACGCCTCGAACTTTGGGTTGGCCACAAATTATTCAAGTGGCAGCGCGTGCGTTTATGTCTTAATTAGGAACCAATTGCAGTTGCAACAGTTGCAGCTGCAGTTGAAATATTTAAGCAATGCCGCAAGATTTCTTAATTAAAAAGTTGCTCCATCGCCGGGCTCACATCTTTGTCGGCATCTTGGCGAGCATCTGAGGTGTCAGCAACAATGAAAATAATTTGTGCTGTTCTCGTTTTTTTTTTTTGCATACCCAGTACACAAAGAGCTGCTGAAAGCGGGCATAGAAAGCTAACAATCGCAGCGTAAATCTTTTGTTTAGACTTGCCAATTTCTGTGGTTGCCAAAGCTGATGCGCAATAATATTTATGGCGCCTTAAGTTAATCCTTTGCAAATTGTATCCTCTTAGTGTCAAGGAGTATCTTCTAGTTAGGTTAGGCTAACAGCTAAAATCTTCTTAGTTGTGTATTTGTGTATTTTCTATTTTCTGTTGCTGTCGCTTACGCCCCTTTTTGGCAATTTGCTTTTGCACATTATTCTTCATTTACTTTGCAGCGAAATCTACGAAATTTCATTTGCAGTTATGTTGCTATTTTTCCGGCAACAATTTTCCAGAAGCCGTCGCACACGTCACTTCTGCTGCTGCTGCTGCTGCTGCTGCGTCTGCTGGTCCAGCTTAGCTGCGGACTGTACTGAAAATATTTGCCAAGCGCTTCAATTTGGACGGAGAGTCAAACAATTTGCCTGGTCAGGAAAACGAAATATATGTGCATAGACGTAAAGTCACAGCACATTTATATTAGTGTGAACTTGGCCTGCACAATGCCAGGGCAGCTCTATAAGTTTTGGATTTTAATGCCAAGCACACACACTTCAATTTGTGTTGATGTTGGTGTGTGTGTGTGTTTTCGTATGCGTGTGCCTAATGCTGACGTTAACTTCGCTGCCTTGCCTGTTCAACAATTTTTGCACGCCTCAGTTGTTTTGTTGAAAGTTGAAAAATTGTATTGCATACATTTAGGCAAACAACTTCGGACTAGGACAAAGTTTTTCCTTCGGACAGTGCAGCCTCATATTACACTGCAGTTGGGTCATTCATCAACACCATGCATCATAATCATATTGCTGACAATACATATATATATATATACCAAAATAGAAGACTTTTAACAAACTACGAACAAGTATTCTTTTTTATAAGCTTAGCCGCAGTTGAAGCAAGTAGAGCGAGCTAAAATATGTGCAGGAAATACAATTTATTGATCTGTAAGTTTGGCATAAACTTGTTTATCTTTTACTTTCAGCCTAGAATGCTCAATGAAGCTTCAAACGAGCTTTAATATTTGCTAGCAACATGCGGAAACTTTTAGTTATATTAACACTCAGCCATCAAAGCTCAGTGCAGCCTTCAGCATGCTTTTATATATTCCAAACTTCCAAATATAATTGAAGCTTCAAGCAAGCTTTAACCTATTCAATAGGTATAACATTTCTGTAGCTTATATAACTGATTTTTCCGTAAAGATTTGGTCTGAAGAGTACAACAGCTTCGTTGTGGCTGTCTTGTACCCAGACCTTTCTTATTTCTAAATATGCGACAGGTCAGCGCATTTTGCAAAACTTTTTATGCATTGGCTATAAATTGCTTAGCATGCACCTAGGCAAGAAATTTACTAAAGATATTTCATGGGCACAACTTTATGCTGCACTTTGAGCCATATTCTAATTGCATTTTAAATGGTTGTCACACACAATCATACACAAATTGTTTGGTCAAAAGGGCAGCCGCTTACGCATTGCCGCCACATGTTAAATTAATTCAATATTAAGCAATCAAATATTGTAACCACATTATCGACAGCTGCGGCAGCTGGCACAGCCGCAATGTCAATAAGAGGCGTCTAGAATTTGGCAATGCCAAATTGCACAGCAAACAGTTGGAAGAAGAAGATGCCTGCTCATTTATATTAGCAGCAAATTGAATAGTTGCAAAGGAAATCAGTGCCATTTCTCTGGTTAGGCGTCTCTTGACATACACTTTGCCACGCAAAGAAATTTATTAAATTTTTTCTTTTTTCTGCCGGGGGCAATTCTATGTGTGGCGTAATCCTCCAAGCAAGGCCAATGATTGGCCTCGGCGTTTTTATTAATTTCGTTTTTGTGCAGCTGGCGCCAAGTGTTCGCGTTTTGCATGTACAAAAAGCGGACAAAAGCTGCGACAAAAGAATTTAATTAAAGCGCAACTGCATTGTCTGGGCTGGCAGGCTGACTCGCTGCTGCTGCCGCCCTTTCTGCTTTGCTCTTTCCGCTCGCCGAAGCTCGTGTCAGTTAAAGGATTAAGACGCTGCCCTGTCCGCACACTTGACTGGATTGCCCGTGAGTCTCTTATCAGACAACCAGCCACGCCCATGCCCTTATACTCGCCTGCCTTTAATAAAGGCGTACTGTGCGGCATCATGCTGCTGCATTTAATCTTTTAGTTTTTTTTTTTGCTATAAGTTCATCGGATTACACGACAGTGTGCAAACCTAATTTGAAGACAGGTCACAATTTAAAATGTTTATAATTTGCATAAAGCGCAGCTCAGTTGTCAAATGTGTGTTTCGCTGTGTCTCTCACATGCCTCAAATAATAAAAGTTTTTTAATTACGCTCACACAAGCACACACACAAACTCAGGAGGACACGAAAGCAGCTCATGTGAGTTTGCTTTGCTTGCGCTGAAAAGTAGACAATGTTTTTTACATTGCGCGCGAAAGAGGGTAGCGGAAGCTGTTGTAACACCACCAAAAACCACTTTGCACCACCACCGCCAAAGTATTCGTTTGCGTATTGTGCGTGTCATTCTGACACGTTTCTTGTCGTTGTCAGCGTCTGTCATACGCCATGTTGTACACACATATTTTGACACTTTTGATATGCATTTAATTGCAGCAAAATATTAAAGTAAATTATTTTACATTGTTTACAGCTTCAGTTGTCACCGAGTCTGTCAGAAAATTACAGTGTCCGGGCATTTTGATGCTTATAACAATTTTGTATAGAAAGCGAAGTGATGAAAATTCAGGTTGCTTATACAGCTGTTACAATTTTTTCATGCAACGTGTAATGTCTAGAAGTGAGCTATAACTAAATCGACTTCTTGTATAAAAATTCCAGCAATAACGAGCTTATCCTAACATTCAAACCAAAACTTAATAAAACGGTCTGTTTGTCTGTGAGGGTATTTAGTCTTCGGCACCCGCATGATATATTTAAAATATTTATACTCAAATATTTGCTAATTTGTGCAGCCTTAAGTGCCTTGGCTTGTTTAAGCTCAGTTTCTGTGCATATAAAATGTGTTTATAGTACTCCGACCATAAGCTAACAAAAACAGTTAAGCCAAAAACAATCAATACAAACAGCATTGGTTGCTAAGTTGTTTGTGTGAAATTAAGTTTGGTTGAGCCACAAAGTTTATGAACTTTAGTAATGCTTGCAGATAATATGGTTCACAGAACTGTATCTTTTCGAAACTTGTATGCTTAAAATGTCATTTCAATTGCAGTTAGCTTTTCTTGAAACCCTTGGGAATGTTTCTGCAGCAAATGTTTGAAAAATAAATACCCTTTTATCCCCAAGTTCAAATTAAGCTGGAAATCAATCAAAGAGTTTTAATTAAGTTAAAAGCTTTCTTTTCGTTTCATTTATTGCCAGCAAATAACGTAAGCCAATTGTATAAATAATGCAAAATGCAAGAGCAACAACAACGATTGCAAATTCAATAAGATTTGTGGAAGACTTTCAATGCACAATTTATTTGGCTAAAACGTACTGCAACAGCGTTGATTGACCAGGCCAAAGGAAATAAACAGTTGGTCAGCTGTAGAAGTCAATGTTAAATGTTTTTGTAGTCAAACGACTTGTATTAGTATGCATCTGTTATTGTTGTTGTTGCAATAGTCTATTATTATGGGTCGTTTGTGGCCTGCCGCCTGGCAGTTAAGAGCCGCGCGTCGGAATCGGAACTTGTGTCATTTCCGCACAGAGTTTACTATGCTTTTAGGCTTGCCCATTTAACACAGTGGGTTGCAGATGGGCGGTGTGTTGTGGGCGGGCCAGGCAATAAAATGGCACATACGTATAATCTATGTAAGTGTTCCGGTAAATCAATTCGTTTTAATTTGATGAATTTGTTGGAGTAAATATAAGAAAATTTCTTAGTCAAATCGGTTGCAGAATATTGGCAGAAATTTGGGCGAAGCTATTTTCAGGAACACAAGCACATGGTTCATTTCAGTCGTTCGAGCTGTTTGCTAGTTGTTGTCCCGCTGCCTTGCCCAAAAAGTTGTTTAATAAATGTACTCACACATGCTTATGCGAATGGCCATCGAATATGTTGGTATTTGTTCCTGTCTTGCCGACCTTGCTGTCTTGCCGACCTTGGACCAGCATAGGCCTGGGCATAGTTTATAAGCATATCTTCGAGGCCAATATGAAAGTTTTTTAATAACTTGGTATAGGCAGCTGTCAGTTGTCTGTGTGTGTGTGTGCGTGTATGTGTGTGTGTGCTTATGCTCGAGGCTGTAATTGCGATAAGCGCACAATTTGTATCTGCAGTTTTGTATCTTTGTATCTTTAATGTTGCCGCTTGCAGCTGAGTTAACTGCATTCAATTTATGTGCGCTGTTGATTTATGAGAGCTGCCTGCTAATTACGCATATTTCGTATGCTCTATCTCCAACCCCTCCGCCCTTTTTGCTGCTTTAATGAGCAGCACTTAAATGCCGTAACGAGCTTAATTGTGAACTCAACTGGGCGGGACTCTCATTAATAATTGTGCCTGCCTGCCTGCAAGTTTTAATGAAGTTTGCATTCCGTTCAAGGCGTAAATGTCAACAAAAGCGTAGCGAATCAGCCAGCAAGCCAGTCTCTCACTCAGTCAGTCTGTCGGTCTACCCAGCTGCCATTGGGAAAACGTTGCGTATGCGTAACGCTTTGTTTTTTATTTCACAGACGGCTTTTGATTATTTGGTATTTTATTGCTACAGCTGGAATGAAAACAAAAATTTAAGCCTGATTCTGTGCATTAAAATTTAACTACAATACGGGTAAAAACTGGTTATGCATGAGTTGCAATTTTTTCTTTTTATTTTTCTTTGCAAAGTTACATGTTGCATTTTCAATTTTTTTATGCAAATAATTGCAAAAACGCTCTGCTGCTGGTTTCGCTCATGCGCTACCTGTGGCATATTTTTAGTTGAAATACATTTTTTTTTTCATTTTTTCATTTATACTCTGATCTGGCAGCAGAAGGTCTTGTATAAGTGTCCTATATTTATGGTTGTTATATATATTTTTAAGGACTATAACTAAGCTGTAATACTTATATCAAGGATAATATTCTCTTGTTCAGCTTGATGAGTTTTCACGGCGGTTAAGCTGAGTGAATCAAATTTCTGTTGGTTGTGCAATAAAACAACGTATAATCAGACACTAAATTTATTATAATTAAGTATCTTTATTTGTTGAAACTAGGCAGTAATTTTCAGAAATCAATGAGACTGTTATAATTGCCATTCCAAATACTCAAAAGGCTATCAATTCCTATAAAAAGATAATATCGCTTTTAGAAAAAACATGGACCGGTTCTTTATCAAACTGAACCGGCTTCCAGCTTAATTCGTGGTTAATAAAATATGAGAGTTCCAGCTTCAACCGGCAGTTTGGCAGTCTTGTTGTATTTTTATTTATATTAAAATTTGTAGACTTAAATACTTTTTATTTATTTAATTGTATAGCTTAATGATTTATACAATCAAATATCCGCACGGTATTTCAGGGCTCAAAGGGCACTCCACAAAAAAAATACTTTATATGGTACTCTGTACCACGCAGCAACCAGCTGAGTGTTTTTACCCTTCCGGTCA